TTACTCATTGCGATATCTCCTGAAATAATAGAGATATCGTAATTATGTTTTTTTATTAAGACTCGCAGAGGTAAGCACTACAAATATTTTATTTTTTAATTAAATTAAATTTTTTAGTAAAAAAGTTAAAAAAATTATTTTTTTATTTTTGAAAAAATTGAAGATAGCCATTCTATAGAGTATATTTTTGTGAACATTTTGAGCTTTTAACATTTTATTTTCATTAATCTCATGATTTTTAATAATTTTTTTAGTTTATTAGTAAAACGTCAATAAACTGGTTTTTGTCCGGGCGGCGAGTCCCCCTCTACGGCTAATGAGTAAATCCTCACGGGACACCCTGTATATTATATATGTATAAAATTTTTTATATGTAAGCCCCCCCCATTGAAAATAGCTGTGTACGCCACTGTGGTGCATTATATTATGAGTTCTAAATGAACAGAATTATTGTTTACGACATTGTAATACGTGGGCTTCAATAATAGAAATTAAATTAGCCTATTTAGAGTCCATATTTTTAGCTCATAAATATGTGAATCATAATCTTGACCCCAACATATTATACATTCATACTTATGTCATAATAGTGTAAACAATTTACGTATCGTGTTTTACCTGTATATGTGCAAAAAGATTTGAAAATTTTAAACAAGGTTCCACTAAGTCATAACTTATAACTCAAAACTCACATAATATAAGTATTAAGTAACCTATAAAAATCTCTTACTTTGTATTTCAGTATTTCACATTTTAACAAAAATTGATTATTTAAACGAAAATAACAATTTTAGTTCAAAAAAAAAATTTTCTTATGGACTTGAAACTTTTCTTCGATGTGTAATTATTATTTACTATACCTATACTTACTCTTACATAAATAATGACGTTTTATTATATTTATACCACAAATTTATTCACACCGTTCTACGGTAGGTATATACCTCTATCTAGATACCAGCTATGTCTGTATTGACTTATAAAAGTTATAGCATTTAAAGTTCAAATAAAATTTTGACAAAATACGAAAATGTGCAAATTATTTTGAGTTAAAAATACATAAAAAATTTTATTTTTAAATCTAACATTGGAAAATGTAATACAAGATTCCTCATAAGTATGACTACCTTTATCAAAAAAAAAATATCTACCGGAAAGTCAAATTAAATTTTTACATCATTGGATATTCTCTCGATTTCTCATGTAGACATGTAGCGTTTTACTTATTTTGTTGTAATTCAAACACGAATAACTGTAGATACTTGAATTTTACAGCATATAACAACTTATCAATTCCCTTACTTAATAATATGTACAAAATATTTTGAGCTGTTTACTACGGATATTTTAATTTTATTTTTAGTTTTTTTTCTTTAATTGTCAATAAATTGTCATTTACTCATTTGTTGGGCCAAAAAGCATCAACATTTAATACAATGCTCCTGCTATATTTTATTTTACCAGTTGAAAAATGTTTAAAATACATACAAGCAAATTTTTTTTAAAAGTATTGAAAGTTCGAATTTCGACAAAATGTGTTGAATTTTTAATTTTAAAATTATGTTGTAGTTAAAAATGTATAAAATGTTTAGCTTTTATAGCCAAGGATTGAAAATTTAAAACAAAGTTCCACCTAAATAGGTAAATAAATTACTTTATTCACAAAAATATCATCAAAAATAATATAGGTACTTAGTAATATTATAGCCTGACTGTCTTCGCTCAGAATCGTTTTTCTTATACAATGATATTATATCATTGAATTCAAATTTAACACTATCCATTCCAGATTACAGTGATCCAATTGTGACCTTACTGTACAGCAGAGAGATACCCACTTTCCCACCTTTTTTTGCTTTCATCTATGGATTTTTTTAGTTCTTTGTCTTCATTTTTAGGGGTTTGTATATTAAAGGGTTTAAGGGTACTTTAAAAAAAAATCTAAAGATTACTTGTATTTTTTAAAATTAAGTTTATTTTTTTTAAACCAGTTTTGGTCAAAAAACTTAGTGGAAGGTCTTATTCTATTCATTAGAGTCTAATTTATTTCCACATTCGTATAATCATTAGATGTATGGGGAAAATGGAAATAAATATAATTGCTAGTTTGATAAATTCAATAAAATACATAGGTACATTTTTTTTATAATCATTTAAAGTTCGAATGTTGACAAAATTTATCACGTTTAAAATTTAATAATAATTTTGTAGTTAAAAATTTATAAAATGTTCAACTTTTATAGCTAATGATTGAAAATCTTAAACAAGATTCTACGTAAATATGTTATATATAAATTACTTTATTCACCTTAGTATCATCAAATATACTTCGTAATATCATAGGCTGACTAACCGTCTTCGCTCAGAATCGTTTTTCTTAAACAATGATATTATATCATTGAATTCAAATTTAATACCATCCATTATACAATGACCCACTTGTAACCTACTGTACAGCAGTGCACCTTTTTAAATTGTTATTTGATGAATATTCAATATTTTTTATTATTTTTCTTTGTTTATTATAAGATTAAAGCCAACTGCTTTTTATATTGATTATTGAAAATTACTAATTAACATATTGTATTCGTTTAAAATCCTTAAGACTAAAAATATAATACTGACTACACCATATTCTGGGCGGCTTATAATAAAATAAGTATATTAACCCAACTACCCAAGCTATTTCGTTTTTAATTTTAAAATGTTAAGTCATATAGCCATATAATTTTCAAGGACTTTTATAGAAGATCGTCTTAGATTGTATTTATTATAACTTATTATTAATAAATAGCAAAAACAATAAATTATGCAATGAAGTAATATGTGCCATGTGCAATAATTTTAAAATATTTTGGTGTGGAATTAGGTGTGCAGTAGCAAAATACCTTAATTTTAGGCCCTGCGGCACCATGGCGACACGTGAATAGGTGGGAGTTTGTGTGATGATAATTGTAGCACATTTTAGGCGGCGAAGATATGCGTTATGAATTTATGATATAAGGTAGGGATTACCGATTAACGAGGACATTAATATGACAATAATATGACACACCACACAATCATCTATTTTTGACAATCTATACATTTTTTCACATATATTTTAAGGAATTTCCTTAACTTTAAATAGTTTTCTAATACAATCGCATTAGAAAATGCGTCTATGTCTGTCTACAGGATGAACCTAACAACAAAAAAAACGTCCCTACGAGTGCTGAAACTCCCGGTATCCCACCTGCCCAGTCCGGCCCTGGTTGGCTTACTAGTTTCTCAAAAATGTTGTTCTCTTTATTTTTTTCATATTTTGAAAATCATTAAATTTTTTGTTAAAAAATTATTATTAAAAAATTTATTAATTAGGTACAAAATTATTATTAAAACATTTTAGTATAATTTGGTAAAAATTTATAACACATTGTTTTTAAAAATTGGTATCTGGTAATGAGATTACCAGTATACCGTGATTTATAATGACCCGGGAATCAACTCGTACATACCTAATAAATAATAATGAGTAATGACCCGAGATTCAACTCAACCTACTGCATTTTGTTTATGATTGTGGGATATTAATGTTGTATGCGAAAAGTCACTTTATTATTTAAATTGAATATGTCTTGAAGGGGATTCGATACCGTGATTTTCTGTTTTTGTCTAACACACGACATAGTATTTTAGACGTGTTTTTTGCCAAACATTCCAATTGATCTATTGAAGCGATAAGATTTCTAAAAACAGATTTGAATTTTTCGTCAAGTCTACTTGAAATCGACTTTCCCACATTTTTGATTTTTTGATTTTAACTTCTCAAAAAATTGAAATACCAGAATTTTAAATTACTCTTTTTGAATATGACATTTTAAAAAATTTGGGGGATAATATCAAAAATGTGGGATTTCAAGTAGACTTGACGACAAATTCAAACCTGTTTTCAGAATTCTTATCGCTTCATTAGATCAATTGGTATGTTTGGCAAAAAACACGTCTAAAATACTATGTCGTGCGTGTGTTAGATAAAAACAGAAAATCGCGGTATCGAATCGCCTTAATACTTAAATTACATTTATTATTCTGTTGATTTATAAAATGGTAAGAAAATTATGTAACATTATACATAATGGATTAATTGTTGTCTGTATTATGAAATAATTTTTTGTTGAATAAGTTTTTTAATAGGTGCATCGTGCATGTATATAATATTATGCACTACACAGTTCTCTGAGAAATGCAGTAGGTACCTTATGGTATACCGTATACATTATGTTGTGTGCAACACGAAAAAAAATAATTTTGTGCATTCACGCAATCATGCATTATCCCTATCATTAATCATTGTATATTGGTATGCAAAATTGCGCAAAATAAATGGTGACCAGTCACCATTAAAAGTCACGGTGACTTTAAAGTAGCTGTCACCATTGTCACGGTGACCAAATTTTGTCACTGTTAACCATCTCTAGTTCCTACTTTTAGAAATGTAGACCCCTGAAAATAAATAATGCAATCAGTATTAGAAAACCACAGATAAAGGGTAATTTCTTCCATGATTTTTCGATGAACCACAGATACCAGTCATTCGGTATAGTGCGGTTGTGGTTTTTTAGTATTTCCTGTCGTATGTTTTGTACCTAAATTTCTAATTTCAATAACTTCATTAACATTTTGTTTTTGTACAGCACAAACGCCACAAACATTAGTGCATTACAAACTCGTTTGCTGTATAGTGTATACTGTATTACTGTGTGGTCTGTGCTGTGTAAACATTGTTACGTTCTCGATAAACAGATATTTTTATTAAATTGGTATGATAATATATTGCGACTTAATAAATTGATTATCTTTTTACATTTTAATGCAATCCGAAATGTGTTGTTTTCCGACCAGTTTTTAAACCATGTGTCCTTATCGGGTTAGAAGAAAATGTAGTCAATGGTACCTACTCTTGTAGTCGATCATCGCACCACAAGTTGAAAACTGCGACAAAAAAAGCAAAATTGGCGATGAATTCAATATTTCAATATTCAATGTCTTCCAAAAAGACTTGTATGCTGCTGGCTGTAGGCTTTCTATTTACATTTAGTCACTCTGTAAACGGTATAATCATTTTTTAAAATTGTCATTTATTTTGCCACTTAATACTTATTATAATGAATTATGATTATTTGTTATTACAGGCTTATCATGTTATTGTGACATATGCGCTGATTCAAACTACACTTGCGTTACTGATGGATATTGTTTCACGAGTATATCTAAAGATACAAGTGTTATTCGTCATTCATCTCGGTAAGGTTGATTTTTAATCATCTTTACTTGTATTGTAGTATGTTTGTCCTTAAATATTTATTATTATTTTCTATCAGTAATAATAATTTAAGTTCTTTCTTATGTCTGAACAATACAATAAGTAAAGATAATGTAATCATTCAAATTCTAAGCAGTTAGACAACTATATTTTCCAGTACTGGTTTTGCTTATATTGGCTCGCCAAATCAACTAAAACTTATGTACTATATAAAATATATTTTAACTAAGATTCAGATTGTAATGCCCTAACATTTCAAAGTAATGTACCTCTTTCTCTAATGAAAGTACACACAAATTTTTATTTAATCAAGTTTTGAACCAAAGAATTGCAAGACTTAATTTCAAGACATCTATGGGACTTATACTGGAAAATAATTATTTTCAGTTAGTTCAGTGTTGAGCTCTTACCTTCTTAGTAATGGGAAAAATGAAGGAATTTTTGATGTTTGCAGATGATTTTATGTTAGTTGCATTGGCGTAGATATAATTAGAAAGGGCGTAGAAAGGGGTGGATCAAAAAAAGAAAACAACAACTAAATGGGAGGGAAAAATTAGAAAATCCCCCACCCTCTCAAAACTTTTTACAATTTGAATTGATTCAAAATTCACATCAAACACAACATGGAAGATTTTCCACTCCAAAGCCAATGGGAAGGGATCTGACACCCATGTCCTCCACTTGTATATGCCACCGGCTATTTGGAAAAAGTGAATGACAGATTGAAAGATTGGAAAACTGCGCTGGAAGGGATGGAATTATGATAGGTAGAAATAAAACAGAGACAATTGTGTATGAATTTGGAGGAAGTAATCGAAAAGTTAATTTGGGCAAGGCAAGGGATTATGTAGTATGTAAGATGAATATGTTAAAGTACTTAGGATGGAGTCAGAAAGACAATTATGTGTGGCCGTGCGGGTGGATGAAGTGGAGAGAGGTATCAGATATTTTTAAACCATTGAAATTTAAAGGTAGGTAGATGTATTATATACTCTTTTTTATATAAGAATGAATTGTTTCGTGCATGCAGACTGAGCCGTCGAACAGTGCCTAACCCCCCAGGTGATGGCTATGCGTTCTGTGATTGGTCTACAGTCATCGTCGATCGTCGGCACCGGTGCTGGCCGCCGTGCATATGCTCCCACCATTGTCCAGAATGTAAGAACAAAACCAGTTTTCGTCGGCCTAGCGGTTCATTCTTATTTGAAAAAGAGTATAGCAGTAGTGAGCCCAGTCATGTTGTATGCATTGACTTGACTGTGCATGCGTAGAGTGATTAGGGAGGATAGAATAATAAATTATTTTATTAGGGATAGTGTTGGAGTGGCACCAATTGTAGATAAAATAATGAAGAATTGGTTGAGATGATTCAATCATGTTATGAGGAGCCAGTGAGGTTGGCTATAGAAATTAATTTAGTAGGAATGTAAGTCAGAGAAAGATAGAAGAAGATATGGGTAGACAAAAATACAAGATCGAGAATAATATGAAAATAGCTGGTACGAGTGATGAGATTGGGCCAAAAAGGCCTATGGTGGTATAGGACAAGGTTGGTCAACCCCATATAGCTGTGAGCAAAGGGCGATGCAAAAGAAGAAAAAGATTCTAATCATATTATATTAGGTTACATTTTTTTTAAATTTTTTCCCAAACTAGTTTTACATTTTTATTGTTAGGTGCTATTCTTTCCAAACAATGTATTTTAAACTAATTTATTTATCTTTTTGGTTAATCGCTTGTGTCATTTTATATGTATCACATGATTCACATGTTTCATATGTGACAGTGGACTGTTCAATTTGTTGCCATACCTACCTCCTTTACCGTTGTTTTTTTTATTATTTAGGTATTGTTTCACAACATTAAATTAAGATAAGATTTTTTTTTTAATGTGACATCATACATCTACTATATTTAATTTAGGAATTAATATTTATGATTTATCACATATTATTAGATCTATGATTTGTAGTCCAGTCAATAGGGGGTTTTGCCTTGCAAAAAATACTAAAGTTTTGAAACTTGGTGAAAAGTTTCGTCTTGGGGCTCTGATTGACTAAAATTAATGTGCCATCCCTCTGAGGTCCGCAACTGTTCCATATCTTGGATTTTAGGTGAAATTTTTATGGTTTTTTTACAATATATCTAAAATTATTAACTTTACGATAAAAGTAGCTTTTATAAATTTTGAAGATCGTAAAATTTGTGACAAGAAAGGTTCTATACATTTTTAGCGCAAGAGTAATAGATAAGCGACAAAGTCTAACAGCCGTCATAGAATGTGGAGCCGCGAGCTATAATGACATGTATATATTATGTACCCATATATACAAAATTTTTCACTTTTTTATGGTTTTCTTACAATATCTCTAAAACTAATAACTATAATAAAAATAGTTTACATGGAAATTGAACATAGTAAAATTTGTGACAAAAACCTATACCTAACGTATATACTATATATACCTATTCTACGTTTGATCCATTCCATTTTCAAACTACGTGCATACGTATAAAATATACGCCATTATAGCGCTGCGCCACATTCTATGACGACCGTTAGACTTTGTCGCTTATCTATTACTCTTACTCTAAAATGTATGGAACCTTCTTGTCACAAATTTTACGATCTTCAATTTTTATGGAAGCTACTTTTATCGTAGAGTTAATAATTTTAGAGATATTTAAAAAAAAAACCGTAAAAAAGTGAAAAATTTCACCCATAATCCAAGATGGCGGACCTCGGAGGGATGGCGTATTTTTTTTTGGTCAATCAGGGTCACAAGACGAAAATGTTCGCCAAGTTTCAAAACTTTAGTATTTTTGCCTTTTTTGGAGCCCTATTGACTGGACTATTGCATTTGTGCATTTTATCACCAATATGCAGTGGTCGGGACTAATTTTAACGACGCTGCTTTATGTGTAGCGATTGACGTAGTGTCGCTACATTACGCCTTAGATAGCGAAATACTATAGGGCGCTAAATATTTCCGTAGAAAAAAATATCATTATTTTGTCGCTACCTACAATCTGATTGGTGATTATTAAAATATCAATTATGATTATATTTGTTTATTTATATTATTGTCGCTACCTACAATCTGATTGGTGATTATTAAAATATCAATTATGATTATATTTGTTTATTTATATTATGATAATAATTAGTGTATTGGTGAAGTTTTTGTCCTGGGTCCTGTCCAGTGACCAAATGTCAAATCAGTACAAACTACAAACACTAGTTTTCAATAAGAACATTTTTAAAAGTGTAGCGAAAATGTAACGCTCTACATTTAGACAATAGCGTTAGAAGCAGCTCGATACATTAAAAAAAAAGTAAAGCGAGCTACTATTTTTGGGGGAGTAGCTGTAGCGTTAGCGCGTTACAAAAAACTAGTATCGTTCCGACCACTGTCAATATGTGATATCTAATGATATTATAATTAATAGTTACCCAAAAAATAATTAAAAATACTGAAATCCAATCATGTGTATGAGTTTTTAGAAAATATATATTTTATAACTGAGTTCATTTTTAAAATGCAATTATTTTTCATTGCTTACAAATTTGTAACAATAATACTCCAAATCTTGGACCATCATGAGCTTGATGAGACAATAGCCCAACGGTCAATTTATCTTGTGCTGTGTTTTTCATTTACATGCTTTTCTATTTCATATCCTTATGAACAATTATAGGTTACTTCATTATTAACAATTTTTATTTCCATTGTATAGTAATTATTATATAATCAAAATTCACTAAATTTTACTTTCTTTATAAATTGCATCTCAATTATATTTTAAATACCTTTGTACCTAACAGAACATTTTCCTACATTAAATTTACAATTATTTGCAAAAGCAAATTTATAAATTCTTTCAAAAATTATGATCTCGTTGGAGGCAAAACTGGTCTAGGTTACTAGGACAAAACACAGATAATTATACTTAGTACCAATATACAAGACAATATGCCTTACCTTCAACGATACTTACGAAATTTTTGCATAGCCTAGGGGTTTTATGCCATATTTACCAAGTATCAATGAAATGTTGAACAATTTATGATACCTATATTATTTTTGTTTTTACTTCTCACTTTATTTTTTTTTACATTTACTGTGTTCTAGCTCATGAGGCCAGTATATAGATTATAGGAATATACTATATTATTAAATAGGCGTATACAGTTTTTACTCTATAGGAAAAATGTTGATGCTACCTTTACATCTCTATGAAAAATTAAATAAATAGCCGCTTCTAAATATGTTTCTGTATTGTATGTATTAACTATTCTGATTTTTGTGAACTGTCTAAAAGCCTTGTCCTATATGTTTAAAGATATATTAAAAATTAAAAACATTTCTTTGGATGAGCAATCTTTACCACTACCCACTAATTTTCAAGCCAAGAATTAATTTATAGACAAATGTAGGCAGTGGCGTACGCAGGATTTTTTTAAGGTGGGTGCCATAAATCATAATTATATACATGAAAAACCTTTTTTTTTTTTTGTTCATCCCTCTAAAAATCTTCTCCCACTATGTTATGATAGAATAGTCAATAAAAATAAAATAATAGAAAACATTTATATATAATATAATATACATATATTATAGTCATAGTTACAAAATAAATACTTAGTTTAGTTATAAAATAAAGTGAGTACGACGGTTTTGTTTTGCCAATACTTTAATTACTTCCTCGACCTCAACATCAACTTCACGATCAATATTAAGAGCTGCTAAACCATTCAGTCTTAACTGAAAATATTTGTCGTTTTGAATTTTATGCGCATGGGACAATCAGTTTATATCTGATTGATAATGATAAATGATATTGGTTTATCAGGAAAATGTCATTATTTTGCACAGACTTCTATACTACACTAGATAAGGAACTCTTATACAATTTACATTGTTACAAGTGAAGCTCAGCTGTGAACGGCCGCCATTTTGTCGGTTGGCAAAACATTTCATTTATTATACAAAATGTATTAGGAATAATATTTTTTTTAACGGTCAAATAAAATAGTAAATGTAAAATGACTTATATAAAATATTTTTTTTTTTTTGTAAACTAAATGTTTAAAAATAATAAAATACGATATAAAATAAATCATAATATCATCTTATTTGTCATATGAAATACCATACAATTGCCAACCGACCTTGAGGCTTCAATTCATGACCGGAGTTCGCTATCTAGTAATATATAGAAATCTGTGTTATTTTGTTACTTTTTTTTTTTAGTCATCTTTTTATAATTTGAACAGATACTTATTTTTAAGGGGGATGTCATATCTGCCTGACACTCCCCCTGTGTACATCACTAAATCTAGGTTGTTTCCATTTAAACCGTGTTCTGTCCACATTTTTTTCGCTTATAATTTTGTATTGGGTTCACTTTTCACAATGAGTTCATCTTCTTTAAATTACTGATAGGTGGCTTCAAACTTTATTTATATGATTTAAGTGGTTTAACCCAGCTTTTAATTGAATTTATTTCCATATTATTCTATATTTTGTATATTATTTTTTCCTTCTAGTTCTTGAATCATTGTTAAATTTTTTATGTGTATACACTTTACAGTTTGAGTATGTATAAAAAACAAGGGAACATAATTACATTTTTAATCTCTTTATTTATTATTGCTGTTTAATTAAAACACAACCAAATCAATTAGTATTTTTCATGTTATAACATTATAACTACAACTTAAAATATAAAACCCTATGTACCTATAATGTATTTATAATTAGGCATATTTTAAATAATTTGTATTGGGAATTGGCTTTAAGTTGCTTGCACAAGTACCAGTTTTTCCCACCAGAAAAGCCAAATATTTGTTTTCGAAGAAAGTTTCTGGATGAAATCTCAGTGTCATGTTGCCAAGATCGAGATTATTGCAATCGTTGGCTATACCCAAAACTGGTTGAAGTTAAACCTACAGGTCTATATATAATTTATGTGTGCCCGTTGTAATTGTTGTTGAGTTTATTTGGTTTTCCCAACTAATATTAATATTTAAAGTTAGAAATTCTTTTTTAAATCAATATTTTAACATTAATTTTTTTTATATTTGTTTGTTTGTTCGGTTTTTTTTAATAAATAAATAATTCATTATTGTTATTTTAAAATAATTTTTGTCAACTAAACTAATAATAACTGTAGGCTAACATTTAGGTACTGCGTGTGTTAATTAACGCGTTTGAACTTTGATAACTGTGCTCGTTTTAGGTGTTTGGAGAATAACATAGTGATCCCACGAGAAAAACCTTTGATATGTCATTACATTAAAAAACATAATGATTCATTTGTAACCGAGTGTTGTAAAGATTATGACTTTTGTAACCGAGATCTTAAGCCGACACTACATATTAAGCTTCCAGGTAGAATTTGGTTTTTATTTTTAAAATAATATATTTTTCTAATTATTGCATGGATTTTAATTAATAATATATATAATATATACTTAATGTACCTATTTTTGCAAAATTAATATGTTTAAAAGAAACCAATTGATTTAAATAATTTTGCTATTGTTTTAAAATTTTATTTTTAAGAAAATAAATAATTAATTTTATTTTAAATACACAAAGCACATAACTATACTCTATTCAACTTAAGAAACTTAGTCGGTGGCCGACTTTTGCGCAGATGGTGTGGATTCATTACGAGCACGGACCTCGAACAATCCGCTGGCGAGAACATCACATTAGTTCATCGTTGACAACTTACGTAAACAGTTAACTTAAAATGTATTTTATACTAATTGATCATGTGCGCGGTGTGTTGCTGTGAATATGCTATACTTTGTCTGTTTTCGCTTGTCGTTAGTGCAAATTAATGGATGGGGGGCAATGGGTGGTACTTAACCACCTCCTTCAAAAACTGGTCACCACAGACTGCGTTTCCTAAGTTGAATAGAGTATAATATATATTATTTATATTATGCTTGGCTTGATATTTTATGCATTATACATTATTATATATTATAGTTCATATTATTCATACATGAATGTTGTCTAAATACAGACGATTCGTTGAATGACCCTAAAAAGGAGAGATTGGGCAAATGGGAACTAGCTATTATAATAGCTGGCCCAATAGGTGTTGTATGCCTTGTAGTCATGCTTATTATGAATTTTTGGGCTGGATCAACTAAGCGTCATAATATTAGATATCTACGAACCCCTCGAATCATAGCGGCTGATCAGCAACCTATTTTAACTGCAGCTGTTTCTTTGAGAGACATGATTGAAATGACTACTAGTGGATCGGGATCAGGTTTATATTCACAAAATAATCATTTTGTGTATTTTAAATTGCTTATTTTGTATTAAATTTTATAGGATTACCACTTTTGGTTCAAAGAAGCATTGCTCGTCAAATCCAACTTGGTGTACCTATTGGTAAAGGTCGTTTTGGAGAAGTATGGCAAGGAAAATGGCGAGGAGAACAAGTAGCTGTAAAAATATTTTCATCTAGAGAAGAACGGTCATGGTTTAGAGAAGCTGAGATATACCAAACAGTTATGCTCAGACATGATAATATTTTAGGATTTATTGCTGCTGATAATAAAGGTGAAATCTGATCATCTTAATTATAAAATATGTTTTTATTGTAACTAATAATAATTTTAGATAATGGCACTTGGACTCAATTATGGCTAATAACTGATTACCATGAAAATGGATCATTATTTGATTTTTTGAACCGAAGTACAGTAGATACAAATGGAATGATTCGGATAGCACTGTCTATAGCAACTGGTCTTGCTCATTTACATATGGAAATTGTTGGCACTCAAGGTAACATACATTTATAATTACATTGTTTATGTTTTATATTTAAATATATTGCATTTTATGAATTTCAGGTAAACCAGCCATTGCACATCGAGATCTCAAATCAAAAAATATTTTAGTTAAATCCAATGGAACTTGTGCCATTGGTGATTTAGGACTTGCTGTAAGATATGATACTTCTATGGATACAGTTGATATACCATTAAACCACAGAGTAGGCACTAAACGATATATGGCCCCAGAGGTAATATTTTAAGAAATTTAATTTATACAATTTATACCTTAATGTTCGCCCTTAATAAAATCGGCCCTATAAGTTATTGAATCAATAGTGACTAACGGTCTATAACTTGCTGATTCAATAATTTGTTATGGCTTTGTGCAACGTATTTTAATTTTTATTGATTCAATAACTCAATTTATTGGACCATTAACTATTTATCGAACCAATATATTTTTTTGCAACCGGGCCTTAATGTTATATTTTTATGAATAGGTTTTGGAAGAAACAATCAACATGAATCATTTTGATTCATTTAAAAGAGGTGATATTTATGCTTTGGGTTTAATACTATGGGAAGTAACACGAAGATGTTATGTTGATAACATACACGAAGAATATCAATTACCATATTATGATAGTGTACCATCTGACCCTACTATTGATGAAATGCGCAAAGTTGTTTGCTTAGAAATGAAACGTCCACCCATACCACAGAGATGGAATGCATACCCGGTAATACAAACAAGTTATTAAAATATTTTTTTTATTAAAATGTTTTGTCTTTTATTATTTTATTTTAGTGTTTACAAACAATGAGCAAATTAATGCAAGAATGTTGGTACCATACTGCATCTGCTCGTCTTACAGCATTACGCATTAAAAAAACTCTAGCCACTTTGGGTGCCATGCAAAGTCATAGTATTAATATTAATATTTAAGGACTTAATTACCTCTTAAAAGATAAACCTTTAGCTGCCAATAGATTATCTACAAACATAATGTTTATAATTTCTGGATATGTAATTTAAGTTTCATAGGTTATGAAGTCTCCTAAAACATTGTATGTGCCATTTTATTCTTCGAAAATGTGATGGTATAGGCTATTTTATATTTAATAACTAATACGTACTTATTAACTGTGTGTTTTTGTAATCATCATACTTGGTTACCATAACAAAACTTTTGAGTGTTGCAAATTGTATCATTTTATGAACAATAATTTTTTTCAACTCAAAATAATTTTAAATAACTTTAAAAAAAATTTATTGGTATTGTTGCAAATTTGAAATTTCTATGAAAAAATATATTCTGGACAATAGATATTTTATATTTGCATATAAAAAACTATATAAAATGAATATTTTTTGCATGGTTATTAACCATATTTTTATATTATTCCCATTTTTTTCAAATTAAAATTTTCAAGACATTTTGGTAAAAAAACCTATGTTCACCACTAGGATCTCATTAAAGTAGCTTTCCATAATACATAACTACTAATTAACACTTTGATTCCCTCCTTTTATAGTTTAAGAATCTTGTTTCTTTATGTAAAATATCATATAAATAAAAAAATTTGTTTATTGTCATATATTTACTTCCGATTTAATCTTATTTACAAATAATTTTATAAATTACAACTATTTTATAAATTGAAAATCAGAGTTTGACTTAACAAATAAAATAATTTTGTATTGATTATGAAGTATAATATGCACTAAATTTATTTTTAATTATAACCTTGTAATATGACTGTAAACTAAATATTTATTTGTGCTCCAGTTTTTATTGATTGAATTCAACTTGAGTCTAAATATGACTCTAGTTTATTTAATTATAAATAATGTCATAATTATTTGCTCATAATTAGAGTTTATGTTAACTGTTAAAATGTTTTATATTTTCTTTTTTTGTGTTTACCTACATACAGTTTTTAATTACATTCAAGATAATTTTATATACATTAAGTTAAATTTAAATATAAGTAGTGTACATAAATATACCAAGTGTCTCAATTTCTTATAATCGAGGTTTTTAATAATTTTTAAAAGTTTCGTTATAAATTTTACTTTGAATAATGATATTGAATTAAATTTCCATCTGACAACTGATTTTATACATTTTTGTAATAATGAATATAATAATATCTGAATATTTTTGAGACACAATGTATATAGTATGTGTATTTACCTAATTAATGTTAAAGTCAGGCTTAATGATGTTAGATGTGAGATGATGTGTACAATACTTATATACTTAAGAGTGCAGAGATAATTTTGTTAGTGCTCAAATTAAGAAGAAAAAAAACAGAGTAGCCTAGATGATTAATAACAGTACAATTTACTATTAAATATTTTATACTACTTATTGTATATAGATTATATGTTATTATATATATATATATATATATATATATAATATAATGATACTTATAAATGGCTATTCTTTTCTTGGAGGCATTATATTTGAATTGACTTTTAACAGTTTTAGTCATAAATGCATAAAAAGCTTTTTTTTCTACAGAGTATTTTTCAAATAACAATATTATAAATTATTTATTATTTTGTAATGCATAGATTAAATGTTTTTTTTACAATAATTATTGATTGTTTTATTAAAAATTTTATACAATCTTTGTATCTACTTGTCTGCCATAGTCAAGATTTTATAATCTTAAAATAATTTTAAAATTTTTGTATACTCTTTAAAATCAAGTTGGCATTACACTGCTGTGTACTTGAAATATTTTCTGATTATTTTTAATTGTATAATTATAGAAAGCAATAGACATGATGTTATTTTGTACAGGTCTATAATAGTTATACAAAACAGAATACATTTATTATTAAGTATTTGTCTTCTTTGAAGTGTGTAAATATGATATTGCTTAATTTTTTCCTCACTAAGCTATTTTATTATATTTTTAGTTTTTGTAAGTTAATATATCTATTAAATAAGTATTTGTTATAATTGTACCCCCACCATATAACCATACTGCTCTCTACCAACCCATATATATTTTTTTTAACTTGTTTTAGCCATAAAGCTTTTAAGAGTTAAAATGTTTTGTTTTAATTTATATATTTTTTTCATTAAAAGATGTGTATACTATGATAAAAAATATATTTCTATTACATATTATAAGTTATAACAGAAATAATTTGCATCCATATTTATTATCTAAAATTCTGATCTATGTTCAAGAATGTATTTTATTTAATATGCTAGGAATTAATTTTTTAAGAATAAGATTTGAGCATTTTTTATAGCTCTTGGGTAATTTGTATTTAAAAGTCTTATATTGTTATAATTTAAAATAACAAATAAACTCTGGGAATTTAATAAATAATGATATTATGCTTACATATAACATATATGTACATTGCCGTAACAGTATTACCACTACATGAGACGGTCTTCTCCTGGAATCCATTTACTGCTCAATCTACGGCTAAGAGATTGGTGTTCTTTATGTTTTTAGCATGCCTAATTTGGCCATTTTCTTGATCTATTTGCTTTCATAATACTGACCCACTACATATGTGTAATAGTTAGTTATCCCTTGGGTTTTTGTTACCATCATTATTACTAGTCCTAATCAAATAATTCTACATAATCATGTAACGTATTTTGTTTAGGTACAAAAAAAAATGTACTTAGGTATATGATAAAAAAATTATAAGGAGACTATTTTGCTATAACATCAATTAATATAATATATTTTATAACCACAATATAATTATTATTGAACATTTTTTTTTATAATTATCCATTGATATTTAATCAAAAAATTTGTCGTTTTATATAAAGTTGTGATTGTGCGGTGATATAAATGTAGCATGCAATTGGATATTTTCCATTTTGAAGAAAATTTATAAATCATTAATATGTATTAATAAATAACCATTAATATTGTATAATACTTGTATACCTAGTGGAAATTAGGTAATTTTTACATTTTATTCGTTTCTATAGTGATAAACAAAGCATTTAGGTTAAAAAATAAAAATATCTGTATCGAGTCAACATCATATTAATGATTACAAAATTAATGCACTAGTACTTATTAACATATTTTGACAAAATGTGTTTATAATTTTACCAAATTTTTTATCTTATATATAACAAAATTAAAAGTACTAATTCTATTACTACATCCCTATGATGTTATACATTTATATTACAACAGTCAACAGTATAAATATTAAATGGTGGCGCACACTCAAAAATAAATAGGGGTAGCAAATTGATTCGGTTACCTCTATATTGGCTAATAGACTAATGGCTATAGCCTATAATTATTCAATAGTTTATTTTCAATATTTTTACAAGTAGTAGAATTTTCATGATGTAAATATTTTGGAGCCAGGGGGTCCACTCACCCACCTACCAAAACACTCAGGGGTAGCAACTGCTACCCTTGAACCCTCCAGTGTGCGCCACTGAGTATAAATATGTAATAATATGAGCTAATGACCAATATTTGAGGTCATAATAAAATAAATATCATTGAATATGGAATGCTTATTCTTAAACTGTTTCAAAATCCACACCATACATTTATATCTAGACTTGGAATTATTTGGTATAATATTACAACTTATAACCACTATGGCACTATTTACAAATAATTTTTGATATTAGAAGGGCTAAAGCAGAACAATTAAATTTAACATAATATGAACATCTCAAATATAAAAATGTTTATAATGTACCTATTAATGTTCAATAAATTTAGTTATTATAGGTTCTTTTATTTTTTGGCAAAAATGTTGGAATATCCATCAAAAATTCAACAGGATTTTGATTATTGACTTGTTAATATTATTTACAATTTTAGAGAACAAATAAACATTATATATTTTTATCATTCCCTCTGTAAAATATAATTTTTATTGTAAATAATAAAATAATTGTGCTTAAAGTTATGTCAGCGCAATATTTGTTTTCTCTCCGACCCACATGCAATATAGATGAAACACTTTCACCTGAAATAATTTTTTATGATTTTTGAGTAAAATCACCTATTAGAACAATTATAAAAGATTATAATTTTAGGGGTTTGGCATATCGGTTTTATTTTTTATTAATATTTGACTTTGTATTCGACTTTCAAAACAATAACAATTTTTTTTAAAATTGTTTTGATACAATATTTACACAAATTGATGTCATATTCTGGTGTTTTAGCAGTGTGCTGACATCCTCTTAAACATAGATAATATTGGACATTGTATATGATTTTCACATAAATAATTATGTAAAACAATAATTACATAAAAACCAAGGTGTAATACACCTTGATGAAAACATATAACACCCTCCCCTATCGTGTCAGCCTGTGACAATCAAAAACTTAAAGCACACATTTATTTATTTATCAAGAATAAAATTGACACTTCAAATTATATTAGAAAATTATTTCACTAGATAGGTATACCTATCACTTATCGGTTACTGATTTTCAATCTGAAAAGCTTATGAGACCAAAAAACTAACGTTTTTATTACGAGATTCTACATCAACTTAAAATTTTCAAAAATAATTATAATATGTAGTCCCCTTCCTCAGTTTAAGCCCTAAACTTCGAACTTAGCCAATGGACTAGTTTTCATAAAGTATATCTGTTTAAGGCAAAATCTAAAGACAGCCATCTACATTTTTTTAAGATATCATCATGATGAGCATTTTCAACCAAACTCCTGAGTTATTTAAATAATGTACAATATATAATTTATTTATTATTATTCATTAATCATTAGCTACCATTCTGGGCTATACAGTGGATAGTCACCCGGATATTTTAATTTACAGTTGGCCCACATACATTATAATATGCACTTAAACAAAAATCAGTTACCTAAGTACCCTTCTTACTCAAGTGTTATTAATTTTAACATAATATAACTATTGTATATAACAATTCAAATCTAAAAATAGAAAACCAATTTGTGTTGCAGCCACTGCGACGTGTTATATTATGATTTATGAATATTAGGGGATAGACTTTTAGTCTTTAGACAATATACAATTTAAAATTGAGCCAAACAAGAAACACTAACACCTAAATATGGTGCCTGTAAACCATATTATAGCCATTTTGAGATATCACTATCCACTACTGTCTACTTTTAATTTAAGCTTATAAATATTTTTTGAATTACAATGTTTGGGATCAATGGTAAATAGTAGTCATATAGTAACTATTAAGAAAATTAAGGTTTAAACAAAATTTTCTTTAAAATTATTAAAATTTAGAATGGTCTGTTACTATAAACTTATATCTATACATTTGACTTATAAATGTTAAAAAATATCCAAACACATATCATACATTCTACAGTATGTAAATAGATATATATGTAGGAAATATCAAGTATCCAATTTTTTAGATACAATAGTCAACAGTTGAATTTAGTAAAAATTATGAATTTTATTAAACATAGGTGTATATAAAAAAAAGAATACTTTTTCATTCATAAATATATCTGAAAGTGAATGTTATTATTATTATTGTGTAAGCTTACGATGCATGAAAATAGTTTAAATAATAACAAAGTAAAATATGCATCTTAATATTTGCACATAGCATATGAAACTTATTAAAAAATATTAGTAACCTAGTGTTAATGTTTTGATGAACAATATTTGTTAGTTAAAGCTCTCCAGCATCATATGCTTGTTGATATCCACGTCCAGCTTTCTGTTCAGGATCTAATTTAATCATATCATCTATTCTAAGAATAGTAATTGCAGCCTCTGTTGCAAATTTCAATGACTTAACTTTAGATATAGCAGGTTCCAGGACACCAGCTTTAAGATTGTCCCGTATTTCACCTTCTTCCAAATCTAATCCATACCATTTATAGACATCGTTTTCACTACTTGTTTGGCTTTCATTATGGTAAGATCTGAGTTTAGCCACCAACTCTGTAGCGTCTTGTGCAGCATTAATCGCCAAGGTTTTAGGAATAACCAACAGAGAGCGTGCAAATTCTGCAATAGCCAGTTGCTCCCGAGAACTCAAAGATGTAGCGAAATTTTCTAAATAAATAGATAAAGCAGCTTCAACTGCTCCACCACCAGCAACAGCCGATTTAGATTCAAGCACACGCTGAACGGCACACAGAGCATCATGAATGGAACGTTCCATTTCATCACAATAGAAATCGTTTGGGCCACGTAGTATAATTGATGCAGCACTTTGAGCTTTTGGTCCTTTAACAATTATTAATTCATCGTCAGATATTTGGTCTTGTACAACTTCAGCAGCTTCACCAAGACTAGAACTTTCAAAAGTCTCTTCTCCTTCCATATTTGTTAAAGAAGTCAAAAAAGCTGCACCTGTGGCTTTTGCGATTCTTTTTAAATCAACCTTCTTAACACGGCGTACAGCCAAAGCTTTTGCTTCAATGAAATACTTCAAGCAAATGTCATCAATACCACCCGTGCATAATATGACATTAGCTCCAGTTGCTAAAATTTTTTGAACTCGTTCTTTAGTTATATCAGACTCACGTTGACGTATCGCTTCCAGCTGGTCAACGTCATTAACCAAAACCTGTACACCTAATTTCATTTTAGTTTTTTGTAGAGAAAAATCTAAACAGGCAATTTTGGCATTTACGATTTTTTTTTGCATTGCTTCAGAAGCAACAGTACAATTCAAAGCATATCCTTGAATGAGTAAACTTTCTCGTGCACTTTTACCATGAGCTTTAAGTACATTGATGGTTTTAATAGGAACAGATACTCCACCACGTTTATCAGATGGTCGTTTCACAAGCATGCAAGCATCTACAACCATTTTTGAAAAGAATTCTGAATCAGCCATGATTAATTTGCTAGACATAGATGTAGTAGCAGCATTTTCCAACCAATCACGTCGTAAATCGTCAACATTTACAGTTAAATTGTTCTGAATATACTTGCAAGACTCTTTGCATGCCAAACGATATCCGCTTATGATAGATGTGGGATGTATTTTTTGTTTAACTAACTCATCTGCATTTTTTAGTAATTCTGCTGCTATTATAACCTAAACAATAAACATAATAAAAAAGTTACATGTGTATTGGAAAAATCACAATATTTTACAGCACTGAATTTGAAGTTAATTTTTAAGAAATCATAAGTGTTGATTTATACAATTGATTATGTTGATTAGTTTTTGATAGGTACATACTTTAGACTCAAGTTTAAGGAATTGTGAAAACACTGAAAACCACAATCATATTAGGTTTAAAAAACCATGTCCATAACCAAGGCAGTTAAGAAACTGACCGTGTAGTGACTGGAATTGTCAGTTATTGAAAATGGTTGAACAATATCATTAGGTAAGTTTCATGAAAAATCAATAAATAATCTACTTAACATTTTTATACACATGTTATCTACAACACTATGATTTAGCGCATTGCTTAGGTAAAATCAAAAATAATAATAAAATTCCAGAAAATTAAATTCTATATTTGAATAATTCTAAATTATCATAAAAACCTATGACAAAAAGGAGTATTTTCAGTTGCTGTCTAAAGCACACATTGAAATATCTTCAATGTGCTCTATAGTATACTTACAACTGATGTCGTGCCATCACCAACTTCTTCATCTTGTAATTGAGCCAATTCAACGAGGACACGAGCAGCTGGATGTTCGACATCCAATAACTTCAGAATAGTAGCACCGTCGTTGGTTACTGTGACATCCTAAAACCATAAACATAAGTTTTTCACAACATTTTTCTGAAGTATTAAAACAAATATTTTTACTCACTCCAATGTCATCGACCAACATTTTATCCAGGCCAACCGGTCCCAATGAGCTTTTAACGATGTTTGCGATAGCATTTGCAGCCATTACATTTTGTGTACGAATGGGTGTTCCAGACGTCCTAGAACCGGCCACCGTCAATGCACTTACAGACATGACTTTTTTTTACTTTTCACACGATTATTTAAGACAGTGGGTTTCTAGAAGGCGAAGTGAAAAGACAAGAAAATCAAAATTATAATGTACAATATTCACTATTCTACGGACGTTCTGTAACTTCTGTGCGTCAGTACTCAGTGCACCGTATTCAGTATTGGGGTTTGGGATTTGAGGTTATAGTTTTTAAAGTGCAGTACCATTACCATTTACCATTATTTTTAATGAATTCATTATTCTTATCATCTCTTTTTCTTCTAAGACCGTGGTCCACGATCGTTGTTCTAGACTCTTGATCCCACGGACTATAATAGGATATGATGGACTGGAAACGAAATGGTCAGCGGGGATCGGGGGACGGCCAAGAAAAGATATCACTTAGCTGACAAGAATACTCTTCTTGAAGTTTTCAGCGCTACCGTTGGCTGCACAATTTGTATCTTAGTCCGTGTTAAATACAGAGGGCGCTGTGAACTCCAAGAACACATAGCGACCCCTCGCACTTTGCTTCTTGTACATACATTCGTAGCCGTGATAAGGTGCTCGTTTCCAGTCCATTATATCTTGGTCCGTGCTTGATCCTGAATTATATCCACGGTAAATCTTGATTAAACCATGAATCCATGTCCCAATGTCCCATGATTCTTGATATGGCAACGACTTTATATTTTTGTATACAATTAAATAGCTACACACATACCTACAATCATAGATAATAGAAGAAATAGAATAGAATAGAATTCTTCTATTATCTATGCCTACAATAATATAATTTTGATTTATATATCATGGAATAAAAAGTGCACAGTGCATTATCTCTTATCTAAAACTCGCGCACGTGATTTTCAAAAATCGTACTTAATAGTAAATAGTGTACCGAACACGACTTTTCGACGGCGACATACAGATTACGGGCAACTGTCATACAGCCTGCCTGCCGTAAAGAACCATTTAGTGTTCAGTCCTTCGCCGTTCGCCCGGTCCTCTTTAAGAGTTCATTTACACCGCGGTTGGTTGGCGATTAATACCCCTGTGACTTTTTATTGATGACATTATTGTTCGAGCTGTTTCATTCAAAATGTTTTATCACGATTTTTACAATGTGGATCCATTCAAGCCCGTCAGTATGGAATTTAATACATTTTCGTCAGAAGAAGTAAAAAAACTGTCAGTGGCGCGCATAGATTCTCTCATATCGTTTACCCCTTTGGGCGAACCAGTGCAGGGAGGGTTGTATGACTCCCGTCTCGGGTCGATTCACATGAGCAGTGGCAAGTGCTCGACTTGTAACCAAAATTCCGTTTTGTGTTCTGGTCATTTTGGTCACATCGAATTGCCCTGTCCAGTGATCAATCCAATATTTACCACAGCAGTCATTCACATACTCAAGATAAGTTGTTTGTCGTGCTACTGCGTATTGTTACCACGAGAAACCACAATCTTGTTAGCTGCACAGTTAAAGCTCCTCGACAATGGTCAACTGACACATGCCCACGAATTGGCTACTGAAATAAATGGACTATGTGAAGATGATGAAAGAAAATTGTCTGTTGATGAACTAGAAACATTTATCAGTTTATATTTAAAAGAACGTTTACAAGAAAATAATGGATCTTATGTGAAATGTGCTGATGAAATTCGACAAAATTTTATCTCTGAAACTATTAACCAAGTGAGTAAATTTGAATTTAAATTGTTTTTTAAATTATGAACCTTGATATTTTATTATAAAATTATTGCACTATCTACAAAACATTGCTCATTACAATGCTTTCTTGTATAGGTTGCTCGGCGGACTGGATGTATGCATTGTAAACAACCACTTGCAACTATTTCTAAATCATTTTCAACAATAACTATTTCTCAAGCATGTAAATCAAAAAAAGAAAAGAAAAGTAAAGAATATTTGTTCCCAGCAGACATAAAAGAACATATGAGACAACTGTGGATCAAAGAAAAACATTTTATATGTGCTTTATTGCCAATCTTGGCTGGTTTGAAAATTGAATACCCTACAGATGTTTGTTTTATGACAGAAATACTTGTTACCCCTTCTAATCTTCGTCCTAACTTAATGGTTAAAGGAAAACTAGTCGAGAGTCCTAGGAATTCAACTTACAAGTCTATTTTACGAGAAGCTAAGGTTATACAATATATATGGTTATTACAGGATCAAAAAGAAGGTCAAGAAATTTCATCAGAAATAGCTGAACTCGTCAATGATAGTCAAGGAAAAGATAGCATAGAAAAAGTCCAAATTGGTATGCATAATTTACAAATGTGTGTCGATGCTCTTCTGGATGGAAATTTGTTTAGATCTTATAATAATAAAGATCAAGCACCTAGAATCGGATTGAAACAATTATTGGAAAAGAAATCTGGTATTATTCGTCAGAATATGATGGGTAAACGTGTTGATTATTTTGCACGTTCTGTTATTACACCAGATCCTTATTTAGATACTGATGAAATTGGTATACCTGTGGAATTTGCTAAAAAATTAACTTATCCTGTAGCTGTTACTGACTGGAACAATAAAGGATTACATGGAGTTGTATTGAATGGCCCAAATCATTATCCAGGTGCAAATATGATTGAAACAGATGCAGGAATAGTAAAATGGTTATCTGCTACAAATAAATCACGCAGAGAAGCATTATCAAAAACTCTTTTTTACAAAGGTCCAAATTCTAGAGGTCCTCAAATTGTTCACAGACATGTTATTGATGGGGATATGATGCTAGTTAATCGACAGCCATCTTTACACAAACCTAGTATTATGGCACATAGAGTTAAGGTTTTGAAAGGAGAAAAAACATTAAGATTACATTATGCTAATTGTAAAGCATATAATGCTGATTTTGATGGTGATGAAATGAATGCTCATTTACCTCAAAGTGAATTAGCAAAATGTGAAGCTAAAGAAATAGCGAGTGCTGTTTACCAATATTTAGTACCTCGTGATGGCACTCCATTAAGTGGACTTATACAAGATCATATAATATCGAGTGTAAGAATGACTGTCAGAGGACATTTTTTTACTCGTAGGGAGTATATGCATTTTGTATACCAAGCATTAAGTTCATTTGATCGTGCCATTAAGACTGTTCCACCAGCGATCATCAAACCAGTAATGTTATGGTCTGGTAAACAAATTATTTCAACATTAATTATTAACTTAACTCCTCTTAATCAAAAAACATACATAAACCTAATGTCAAAATCTAAACTTGAACAAAAATATTGGAGAAATCCAAATAATTATGAATATCCAGATTTATTATCGGAATTCAATTTTATAGTACGGGATGGCAATTTATTATCAGGAATTCTAGACAAAAATCATATAGGAGCGTCTACTTACAGTTTGGTACATTGTTTTTATGAATTATATGGTGGAAAATATTCAGCACAGTTACTAAGCGCATTCAGTAAATTATTTACTGTATATTTACAATGCGATGCCTTTACTTTAGGTGTAGAAGATATATTAGTGACTGAAAAAGCTGATCATCTACGTCAAACTGCTATCGACGAATCTAAAACTGCTGGAACATTAGCTGCTCAGGAATCTCTTGGTATTGAATATATGGGCGAAGATGCAATGAACATTAAATTAGCTGAGTCATACAGCAAAAGTAGCCATTTTCCTGTACTAGTTGATAGAAATTACAAAAAACATCTACAACCATTTACTAATAAAATAACAAGAGCTTGTATTCCCAAAGGATTACTTCAACCGTTCCCAGATAATAATTTACAGCTAATGGTACAATCGGGGGCCAAAGGATCTACTGTAAATACTATACAGATATCATGTTGTTTGGGGCAAATCGAGTTGGAAGGTAAAAGGCCACCCATGATGATATCCGGTCGGACTTTACCAAGTTTTCCACCATTTGATACTCTACCTAAAGCTGGAGGATTTATAGGCAGTAGATTTATGACTGGCATCCAACCTCAAGAATTTTTCTTCCATTGCATGGCCGGGCGTGAAGGTCTTATTGATACTGCTGTTAAAACAAGTAGAAGTGGTTATTTACAACGTTGCTTGGTTAAACATCTTGAAAGTCTTATTGTCAATTATGATATGACTGTTAGAGATAGCAATGGAAGTATTGTGCAGTATTTGTATGGTGAGGATGGTTTAGAAGTTACCAAAAGCAGTTTTTTCAAAGAAAAGCAATTTGATTTCTTAGCTGGCAATGTAAACTCTTTCCAAGCTCTTAAAAAAATAAGAAATGATGAATGTTACAAAGAACTTGATGACAAGTTGGAAGAAATCAAGTCCGCAATGAAAATAAAAAAAAATATTAGTCGAGAAAGTGACTTCTTGAGTTGGTGTAAAGAAACTTCTAAAGTTAAAAATAAAAAGCATCCAAAAACTAAAAATGGTCGTTGGGTGCAAGATATAAGAATGTGCAATAAATGGTATGAAATAAATGAAGATGTTAAAAAGTCGTAAGTACTAAAATTTAAACCATCCCTTAAAAGAATTAAATTTGTTTTTATAATAACAACTTGTATGAAATAGTTTAAAATAATTGATAACTCCTATCTCAAGAGGAATAAAAATAAATTCAATTTATGTATTTTATTAAAGCACTTTGGGAGGTAAGAAAAAAAATTGAGTTAACGAGGTTCAAATTTTAGAGTCAACTTTATATTAACAAATAATTCTTACATTTTATATTGTACAATATTTTATTGCTTACATCTTTTAACTTTATTATCCATTGATAGTTATTCTGAAAAAATACAAAAAGTACCAGATCCAGTGGGTGCATCTTTTCATCCTGGAGGACACTATGGTTTATTATCAGAAAAAATGGATTCGACAATTAACAAATATTTTGATACTAAGTAAGTAGTTATAATTTTAATTAAAAATTTATTACTAGACATTTTAATATTTGATTTTTAAGTAACGAATTGAATGACAATGACAAACAAATTGCAAAAGAATCAATACGTCTAAAAGCTATGGCAGCCACAGCTGC